GTCAGGACTAATTCAGATTCTAATTAGACCCATCGACCTTTTAAATAACTGAATTAAAAAAGATCCGATGACGAACTTGTCCGAGGAGTTTAGTGTGAGAAACCGCAGACGTTCAGACAGTGAACAGAAGGTGTCCGCTGAAGGTGTTCCTCTTCAAGCTATCCGTGTAGATCCGGCGCTTCTCTATGAGCTGGAGATGGATCCGGTCTCCTCGCTCCAACAGAAGACTTACGGAGTTGATGGTCGTGTCTTCCGAGTCGTGTCCGGGCGCGTTATCTGATGCCAGCACTACAAAATTGTCGTTTTTTAGCAGTCTCACACCGGTCGCTTCTTCACCAGCATTGAAGACCACAAAGATGAAGAAATAAACTCCTTTTACTGGTGCAGTGAAGATTCCTGTAGACAACCATAGAAACCTAGGCTCTTAAAATATTGACAAATGACCGGACATAATTGTGTTTAGAATTCGCAATGTTATGATACCTGTAATGGTGTCATAAGCATTTCCAATGTTAATGAATGTATTTTTATACAAAAGAGTGGTTGCTTCAGGGAAAGGGCCCACTGAATCTGGCAGTGAGGCTGAAAAAGCCACTTTCACCCTTTCTGCTAAAAAGAGAAGAGAAGAAAATGATGAAGTAAGCGAAAAGAAGAAGAATAGGCTCCCCCACATTATTAGCTGTTTGATAACATGGTCAAGCAAAAGGCTAATCTTATTAATTACTGTTATGTGTCCAACGTTGTAAAGAGCGATACCATCATGCAGCGTTTACTACAGTAAAGTAGAGCGAGTGGGTCTCTGAGGCGGGGCTCATTTGCATATTCATAGAACCGTGTATACTAAATGAGGCAAGGGTGTACACTGTAAAATCGAATTAGTTAGACTTACTTAAAAAAGCATGCAAACCGATTGACTTAAAAAACCAAGTAAAGTGAAATAGGAATAGTATGTGGTACTGACGAATGCTTAGTTAGTATAGTTCACACACACAAGAGTTCTAGTAATTTTTATAAAGAACTGTAGAGTACTTGATAATTTACTTTAAATAAAATATAATTGTTACCATTGTTGTGTTTTGCATGCTGAAAGTTGAAGTCTGTGTGACTCAAGCATGATCAATGCAAGAATGTCACAAATATAGAGGGATTATATAAATAATATATATATTACTTCTCTTTCTTTGAAACCAGATAACTGATGTCTTGCATCGCAGCACCAATGGGCAGAGAATTACAATAGTATAAACAAAGAGTCAAGTGCCCAACCAAAGGGAACACTGATCATCATAATGGTGACTATAACATTTTAGGAAAATCAGCATCAATTTCGTCAGCTTATGTGAACGTCAGCTTATGTGATGTTCTCTCAATTTTTTTATTGTATTGACAATTCAACATTCAAGATGACTTTGGGAAATGAGTGAATGCAAACAGAGAACAATAACTGCAGAAGTGGAGGAAATGAGAGAAAAGTCCATTAAGAATTTTCCCGTCTCAAAAAACGCACTCAAACCAATCAATTAATATTCACTTGGGTTTTCTGAGTAAACAAAGCATAGTGTGTGAATAGTACACATTACTAGTTTTTTACAATTACATGAAGACATTAAGTAAAGTTCACTAAAAAGTGTTAGTTAGAATCACTGTTGGATTTTACAGTGTAGAGTTACATTCAACCAATTTAAGGCATGAATACATTTTTATTTTCAAGGATTTTTTTTTTTAAATATGTCATTTTCGTGATCAGTTCGAGTTTTAAGAGATACAATTATTGACTACAGGGGGACTTTAAATATGTTTCCTTAATTTCAGTTTTTTAGTCAGTGCTACATTATCTATAGTCACTAAACTATTTTATAGTTCCATTAATCTGCTCAAAGAAATAAACTCCAGTGGGATCATTCAGTTTTTTAAAATAAGGAATACTAATAATGTTGTACAGTACCTTCATTCTTGCTCTTTAGTTCCCTGACTTCTTCATGAAGAGCATTTAACTTTTCCTCCATGGTCCTAATCTTATGGAGTTCACCAATGATGTCTAATGTTGGTGACATGAAATCATGTGTCTGTGCGACTCCAACACACATCAACACAACGACGCTCGTCACCAGCTTCATCTCTGCTGTTCTGTGAGATTATAGATCACGATCACAGAAACACAAGGACTTTTATTGAACAGTCTGAACTACACATATACCTTCGTAAGGGGAAAAGGGGAAATTAACTTCCCTTTTCGTGAACAGTTTTTAGAGTAATGTGTGCTACTTGACTTTATCAATCATTTAAAGAGGTCTGGTGAATTAGTAAATTTGCTAAAGTACAAACCTTTAATACTTTAATCACGGCCGGAGGATCTCAGACTAATTTCAGAGAGAATCCCACCAGCAAAAGAACACAACAGTTTTTATACAATGGGAGAATGGCAAAGATGGCATGACACATTACCTAACATAATTACACTTTTTCAGCAAACACTTCTGTTACTGGGTAGACTCAAACTCTGATTTCTGGATTTACTTCACTTTGTTACTCAAAGTCACGAGTTTATAAATGAAGATCTCTCCAGTTTCATTTCCCCTTTTGTTACGTTCGGAGATGATTCAGACACACTGACTGACTTTCAAAAGGATTCAAAAGCATATGAATTTTATTCCTGCAAGGAAAAGAAATGTTAGTTATGATCCATTAAAAAATGCATCACCAACATTTAAGGCGAACCTGTGCTATGTGGATATACAGTTGCAAGGAAAAGTATGTAAACCCCTTGCAGAATCTGTGAAAACTGGGATAATTTCGACACAATTTAGTACTGTCCTGAATAATATATTCTACATTAATGTTTACATATAGTCCACAAGATAAAGTCGTGTTTTATTAGTTGTCCTCAGTGTGAAAAGATGGATCTCAAAATCATACAGTCACTCCTAGAAAGGGGGTTCAAAATATGTATTCATGTATATGAATAAATTCAGCTATTTTTTATCTTGTGGACTATATGTAAAAAAAAAATGTATGTAAAATATCTTATTCAGGACAGTACTAAATAGAAAATAACATGCATTTTGTTTGATTTCTCTCATTTTGGTAACATTTTTCACATTTCAACAGATTCTGCACGGGGTTCACATACTTTTTCTTGCAACTCTATATATATATGTATATTCTGAGATCGCTGGGTTTGCTCTGAATGCCTGTTGTTGTATTATACTATCTCTGCTCTCAAACTTCATGAGTGTTATTAGAGCCGTCTGAAATAAAGATCAGCATTGCAGGGCAACACTGCGGGCACCGGCCTGGACCGTGGAGAAGCTCGGACTATATCACGTAACTGTGGAAGATGTAAGGAGACAAAGAGCGAGTCTGAAGGCCTGCGGGCGCTTCCCCAACCCTGAGCAGATCAGCTTGACTTTATTGCCATTCGGCATATGGTCTCAGACAGACTGTCAGGCGTGTGTGTGTGGCATCGGGCTGATCCGCGGGGAAACACACGGGTCTCGAGGTGCTGCGGGGGACAGAGCGACACACACTGACCCTACGCAGAAAATTGATCAAATTGTAGGATGCAAGACTTCTGGCCAATTATCTGGGTCATGTCAGCGTCTCTCTGGTCCTTCTCGGTCAGCAGTGTGTGTGTGTGTGTGTGTGTGTGTGTGTGGGTTTAGCGTGTTTAACGGAGTGTATGTCTTGCAAACACAGGAGAAGGAAAACATCCACTGACAGCGAACTGACACTCATGCTGGTGCTGGAAAACATTTACATTCCCTCAGCTATAGAGAATCATCTGCTTTCAGGACATTTGAGGAACACACTCCAGGGTTTCTCCATATAGTGACTTCAATGGGGTCCGACGGGTCGAAGGTCCAGATGTGAGTTTCAGTGCAGCTTCAAAGTCTCGACACGATCCAGCCGAGGAATAAGAGTCTGATCTAGACAAACCAGCCGACATTTATAACAAAATACACATTTATATACTTTAATCCACTAATGCTGGTCTTGCTCGAGCCGTGATGCGACACACATTATAAAAATGTAAGCTGTCTTGATTTACTCATTTACTGTCATTTCCAACTGGTACTACTTTCTTTCTTGAGCGAAAAACAATTAGTTACACTTTATTCCAGACTGATCTCATGAAAAGGCGTATGTATGACACGGCAATTCGTATTTCCATTTTTGGCGTGCTATCAACACGCATAATCGCTTTTCAGCGTGTTTATCAACGCCGTTGACTTAACGTTACATTACTGTATAAATATATGAGCTACCCCAACCCCGTCCCTAAACCTACCCGTCACTGGGGTTAATACCATTTATGAGTCTTCCCCTGCCATCCTAGGAAAAACAAATATCGCTCCACAGATGTAGATCTACACTTTACTTCATTTCGCTCGGACATTTAACGGCGTAGACATACACGCAAAAGATGACGGTTCGTTTCGGCGTGGACATACACGCGGACAGCTCAAAATGCGTATAGATAACACGCCACTAGACTTGAAAGTGGCGTGTATGTTTATGCAAAGTCATGATGCCATGTTGTTTATTCGATAGTCCACTTCAGACATTCTACTAACTATAAGTAACTTTGCACGTACAATTGGTATTATTAGAGTATTAGTACAGTATTAGTAGAGTATTAGTACAGTTTTAGTAGAGTATTAGTACAGTTTTAGTACAGTATTAATAGAGTATTAGTAGAGTACTAGTATAGTATTAGTAGAGCATTAGTAGAGTATTAGTAGAGTATTAGTAGAGAATTAGTAGAGTATTAGTAGAGTATTAGAGTATTAGTAGAGTATTAGTAGAGTATTAGAGTATTAGTAGAGTATTAGTAGAGTATTAGTAGAGTATTAGTAGAGCATTAGTAGAGTATTAGTAGAGTATTAGAGTATTAGTAGAGTATTAGTAGAGTATTAGTAGAGTATTAGTAGAGCATTAGTAGAGTATTAGTAGAGTATTAGTAGAGTATTAGTAGAGTATTAGTAGAGTATTAGTAGAGTATTAGTAGAGCATTAGTAGAGTATTAGTAGAGTATTAGTAAGTCAAGTCAAGTCACCTTTATTTATATAGCGCTTTTTACAATACAGATTGTCTCAAAGCGCTTCACAGTGATAACATGAAAACAATATAACAAAGTTTGTTTCTAAAAGAAATTGCGTCAACGTCCACCTTAAGTAAGGCAGATCAATAATATTATTGAATATTAAATGTTAAATGTCCCCAACTAAGCAAGCCAAAAGCCAAGGCAACAGTGGCAAGGAACCAAAACTCCATCAGGTGACAGAATGGAGAAAAAAACCTTGGGAGAAACCAGACTCAGTCGGGGGGCCAGTTCTCCTCTGGCCAACGAAGGAACAGTGCATGATTCGGGCAGCATTACAAGTCAGATTGGATCGGAACATTTAGAGTATTTTTGGAAGTCCAAGTTTGCACGCCGGTCTTAAGACGAGTTGTTAAGGATCAGTGCCGTCCACCATAGAGAGTCCATATCGCCCGTGTTAAGTCGTCACTTCATAGGCTTTGTGATTGGAGCATCTGAAGTCTCCGTGAGAGGCTGGATACAAACTGGAGCTGACGAACGCCATTTTCTCGGGACTCGCGTCCCGAGATAACAGCAGAAAAGCAAAGGGAAAATAATTAGCGTAGCTGCTGTTCATAATGATGATTTCCATAACACAGGCGTAAATGACAAAACATGAAGACAGTGACTCTTGCGTCCCAAAATCACCCCCCTCCGTCCCCCACTCAACTCAGCCCAGCTTACTGACCTCTACGTCCCTCCTGCTGCTGAGACCTAACCACAATCTCACAATCTCTCCGCAGCCCAACCATACGCGCCAACCCGTTGACTAAGGCTGTCGAGGCCCACTGGTGCGTGAATAGGCAGTTTCAGTGGACAACGGTTCCGTATGGCATACTACCTACCGCAACACAATATCTGCCCAACCACCCGTCATTCACGCAATATACACAGGAACGTAATGACTGCAAATACTATGCAACCTATACAGATAACCTACAGTCTCTTCAAGTTTTATAGTATTAAATGCATTTGATCTGATTCAGCAGTATTATAAAAGGTAAGCATTATGTAAATGCTTGGCTAAAAAGATGCGTCTTTAATCTAGTTTTAAACTGGGACAGCAAGTCAGAGCCTCGAACAATATCAGGAAGGCTATTCCAGAGTTTAGGAGCTAAATGTGAGAACGCCCTCCCTCCTTTAGTGGACTTAGATATCCTAGGAATGACTAGAAGCCTCGAATTTAGTGATCTTAAAGAACGCGATGGATTGTAGGGCGATAGAAGGTCCATTAAATACACAGGAGCTAAACCATTTAGGGCTTTATAGGTCAGTAATAGTACTTTGTAATTGATACGGAACTTGATAGGTAACCAGTGTAGAGATGATAAAATTGGTGTTATATGATCATATTTTCTTGACCTAGTAAGAACTCTAGCGGCTGCATTTTGGACTAACTGTAGCTTGTTTATTGAGGATGCAGGACAACCGCCTAATAAAGCATTACAGTAATCTAGTCTCGAGGTCATGAATGCATGAACTAACTTTTCTGCATCGGAAACAGATAGCATGTTACGTAATTTAGCAATGTTTCTAAGATGGAAAAAGGCCGTTCTTGTAACATATGAAATATGATTTTCGAAAGACAAGTTGTGGTCCAGTATAACTCCCAGGTCTTTTACCGTAGAGGATAAAGTAACAGGACATCCTTCTATATTAAAGTTGTATTGTAAGTGGTTTTGTGGATAGTTTTTTGGACCAACAAGTAATACCTCCGTTTTATCTCCGTTTTAGTAGAGCATTAGTAGAGTATAAGTAGAGTATTAGTAGAGTATTAGTAGAGTATTAGTAGAGTATTAGTAGATCATTAAAAGAGTATTAGTAGAGTGTAGAGTATTAGTAGAGTATTAGTAGAGTATTAGTAGAGTATTAGTAGATTATTAGTAGAGTATTAGTAGGGTACTAGTATAGTATTAGTAGAGTATTAGTAGAGCGTTAGTAGAGTATTAGTAGAGTATTAGTAGAGCATCAGTAGAGTATTAGTAGAGTATTAGTAGAGCATTAGTAGAGCATTAGTAGAGTATTAGTAGAGTATTAGTAGAGCATCAGTAGAGTATTA